CAACTGCCCTGCATAGATTACATGCCATAAAACCGAGTAGCGCGCAATGCAGCGCACTTACACAAACTAAAACGCAGATATGTGTGTGTGTGTACAAACGATTGTTCACACCAACAAGCCACGAACAGCCTTGCCGCAGCGTCAACTGGCTACCACTGCCGCAAATTGTTGCCGACAGCGAAGCAGCGTCGTTGAAAGAAAAACTTCAACTGCAACATCAAAAACCAGATAAATCGAGGAAAACACTTTACATAACATGTTATTGAACTATGGAAAATAAAAACAACCAGTTGCAATATGTTTATTATTGTTGTTGCTATTACTGGTGCTGCTGCTGCTGCTGCCGCCGCTGCTATTTCTATTGCTAACTCCACTTAGTCGCTTAGTCGGCAACATACAATGCAAGTTAATGCGAGGCACTCCGGTCGTACGCTCCACGTATGAAGACTGTAGTTCGGGGCGGGGCGGGTGTTAGTGCAATGCAATGGAGCCATTGCACAGGCGAACGCGGCTGAGCCAAATTCATTATAAGTGAAAGTCGGTTTGTTGCTGCAGTTCGTTAACATTGAACTACGTGAGTTGGTGCGCTGAGCTGAGCTGAGCTCAGCCGAAACGAAGCGAGCCGAGTGAGTTGCCCGGTGACTTGTTGTATGCAATGCAATTGCACACAAGTCAGCATTCATAGTTATAGCTAAATTGCATTAGCAACAACAGCTGCAACAATAACAATAAAGCACAACAGAGAAAAGCAAAATGCAAAAACAACATACACACACATATACACATACGCACATGAATAGGCAAAAAGAAAAAGTCAACAATAAAAGCGCAAAACAAATATTACTAGCATTAGAAACAACAACAATGCACGAACAGCAATGCCAAACGAACGACCGAGCGTCGGCTGTGTTTAATTTTGCACTGTGGAAATGTTGTTGCTGTGTTGTTGGCGATTTGCAACAAAATGCAGCGCCCGAGGAAGATGACGACAACAACGACGACTGTGGCGACGGCAATGGCGATGGCGGTGGCAATGGCGTGGACGAGGCCGACGATAGCGAAAAGCGAAATGTGCAACTACTTTCGGCGACCAGCTGCATATGAGCGATGAGCCATGCGGGATGTTGCGGAGCGTGGGGCTGAGTGGTTTTTCTACCAAAACGCATGCGCTGCAGTAATAATGGAACGACTACCAGTGAAGCGTAGTGGTAGTTGTCTAGCAAGTATCTAATGCCACTGCCACCAGCACAGCGAAAAAACATACATGTAATATGCACACACACATGTATAGAAACACTAATCACTTACAGCAGAAAATGCAACAACAAGAGCGCATAAAGCAATACCAGTCTTCTTCTCCATTGCAGTTTGTCTGCCAACGAACTGCACACCGACAATGTGATAATGTTGCCAACATATTGTCAAATACTTATTACTTATTATACCCTGAACAGGGCATATAAATGTTTGTCACGAAGTTTGTAACACACAGAAGGAAACGACGGAGACCTTAAGAAATATGTATATACATAAATGATCAACATGACTGTCTGTCTGTACATATACGAACTAGTTCCTTTAGTTTATAAAATATCGATCTGTAATTTTGCATCAGTCCCTTCCTCAATAAAAAGCTGCTTATTTGTCGGAACGGCCGATATCGGACCACTATAGCATATAGCTGCTATATAAATTGAACAATCGGAAGCAAGTACTTGTATGGAAAACTTTTTTATTTGACGTAATATCTTCACGAAATTTAGCATGACTTCTTGTTTAAGGCAACAATGTAATCTCCGAAGAAATTGTTCAGATCAGATCACTGGATCATATAGCTCTCATACAAATTGAACTATCGGAATCGGTAAGGAACCTTTGTATTTGTGAAGGGTATTATAGCTTCGGTGCAACCGAAGTTAACGTTTTTTCTTGTTGTATGCCACATTTATGGCGATTACATAACTTTTTTTGAGGTAGAAAAAGTTTTTGGAGTTAAATAATAACAACATGGAGAGGCCGCTAAAATTGTTCACACCAATGTACATGTGTTTCTATGTATAAACCTATATGTAAAGGCTAGGGACTAAGTTTCGAACCTTACAATTATGTTTTTGTTGTCCGGTCCCATTGGTATTTACAATATATGTTAATATATATATACATACAATGTTATTTTTGAGCTATTAATTACTAATCCTTCAAATAATTATTGCACTTTATATAATATTATCTTTGAAAGTTATTATTTATTCCATATAGTTTTTCAACGATCAACCCGCGCATGAATAGATATTTTTATGTCATTTATCGGAATGTTCTTCTAAACCTTGGTTATGGCTACTTGAATGACTGTGATATCAACCTAAAATGCTCCATGGTCACATGGTGATCGATCAGGCGTATACGAAGGGTGGCTGATGAGATACTTGTAAATCCGTTTTCTCGTCAAAATTTCGATGGTACAAATGCGCTCAGACCTTTCTTTTACCCAATTCTTCAGTTAAAATTCGCCGAATAATGTTTTTACTAGTGTTTAAATCCTCAGTAAATTTGCATTGATACCAATTTTTTCTCGAACGTTCGTTACCAATTGTGCGAACCACGTATAAACTTGAGTACGAATCATACAATCATCACCTTACAGTTTATATCAAATCCTAATTTTAACATCTGTCATCCGATTTACATGAAGTTATGTGGGTTTGAATGAGGATGAATGTATCCTATTATTGCTGGAAGTTTTCAATAGCTGCATATTGTATAATTTACATATATAAAAGTTCGGTTAATTTTGAGACACACGTTTGTTTGAATTGACTCTATACCCGTCTTAGGCCTACCAGTATGGATATATAATAAAAAAATACCAATAATGTTGGATATACACAAAAACAGCCTTAAATGCAGTCAAATACTGGATATCGAAATTAAAATCATGGTAGGATTTATAACTGATACTTTCCCTGGGAAACCCCTTTCAGAAAAGATTGATTCCGTCAAGGTTGGCAATACATTTGTCACGAAGTTATGGCAGTGGCGACCGCGACTATGGCCACATTTATATTTAATTTGTTGTTTTTACTGGCCACTGTTTATGTTTGGCAGATTGTTGCCAATTCGCCGGTTGGAACTTGTTTTCGTTTTGTTACTCAATCGGTGGACAAACATACCCAAGTATGTATATGCTTAGAAGCACTTACATATGTAGGTATGTATGTATGTATTTTTGTGTGGTTTACCTACAAACTCTTGTAATAGAGTTTACTCATTTCGCTATTGGAAAATTCACAATTACCAGTTTTGGTGTATGTATTTTCTTTAAACCGATCTTTCTGTTGCCCATTGTTGGCGCAAAAGTGACTACACCTCGGTTGGAAAAACGAATATTGTCATAATAATGGTGAATAAGGAAAATATTTAATGCAAGTGAATCGAGAAAGGCGAAGAGTGTATTGCCTGTATAAATAGCGAAATAAAAAATTTCCCTTTCAGCCTCAGTCAAAAGATACACACAAAAGCTTGTGTATGTATGTATATATGTATATAAAGGTAATATATTAGAAAAGAGCGAATAAACTGAATGTTAAGAATAACTTGAGTGTTACTTTTCAAGGCGTTTCTCATAAATTTTTCAAAGCTGCATAAATTATGAAATATTGTACATATTATGTATTAGGAACAAATTTTAGAATTTCAATCGGATTTTAAGTTTTTGACATTCAAGGCGAGTTTCCACAGCAAACATTACTAAAACACCTAAATAATAGGAAATGGCGTTTCAACCATGGCTTGCAATTGAAAATGCAATTGCTTAAAATGGTTCATTTCGCCATATCTTTGAATACACACATATTACATCGATTACACGACAACATAGCGCGTCCCTACAAGAAAGTGCTGATGGGTTCACCAATACACTCACATTTTTTTTGTCAGTCGCAACGAACAGTTATATAAACTGACCGTCACTGTTATTATTAAACAGAGACATCTTCGAATTATATTGCTTACATGCGTAAAAATGAAATAAAACAGTAAAATTACTGTCAGTGTTTACGACTTTTCCGAAAGCAAAATTTGCATACGTCGAAAAGAGACAACACACATTTAAATAGGAGTTTCGAGAATTTTCGAAATACCTATGTAGCTGTTATTCTGTGCGATTAACCAAAAGTGTTGCCTGCTCCTGTGCAATAACTCTTTTTGAGTTAAAAAACAAAATAAATAAAATAGGATTTTCAAATATAATATACATAAGTTATTAGTGAGTTTCAAATAAAATTATCTTTTTAGTTAATTTTAATTTTTATTTAGGCATTTTTAAATTCCGAAATATGATCTGAAGAAACACGTACAGCAGAGCTTTTGAGAGGAACAAGCATGGAATTAAGTGAAAATTTCTTTTTATAATTTATTTTTTAATTATATTTTTATTGCATTACTTTTTTTATATATATGTATATGTATATTTTTATAACTAGTTTTAATTATAAGTTTTGAATTTGTTAAAGATATAAAAGTTATATTATTTACTGCGCAAAAGAATTTTTCACTTGTGATAGACTTACAGTCATAACTGACAAATGGCTGCTATGATAGCTTTTCAGTCATAACTGACAATTTTCAGCTATGATGGATTTATGGTCAGCAATGACTCAGAAACAGACGTAAGAGTGAGCAGTATACATATAGTATAGTGAATCAATTCCGAATACCCATGTGTTAAAGAGAGATGCAAACTCACACACATACATTTGTTTACATCATTTCATTTTCATTTCAAAGTTTTTTCAGCTGTGACTGTCATATTACCGGTCAGATGACTTTCACTGTTCTTGTAGGGGTGTTACGTCAAAGGAGGGCTCACACACATAAGCACATGACAGATTTATGATTTCGGAAACTTCGAAGATCAGTCACTCTCACTACAACAGGCAAAAGGTGTTGCTTTAAATCAAATTTAGTTATTCTTATGCAAAAATAATGAAAGATGTACTCACCTTATTTTATATTAAATTTTTTACGCGCCGAATATTGTTTTTGTTATAGTTTCTATGTAAAAAGGCAGTGTTGAATAACGATTTGTTAATAATATTATTTTACAATGCTGTCTATACATTATCAGTTAATCAGTCGTTTTTGAATGGTTTTACCTTGTTTGTTTTATTAAAAAGAAACAAATTATTCCTAAAAAGTTTTTGTGTGCTTTCCTGCGCTCTTTTCTATTTTACGACTTCAAATCTGCAATTTGTTCTTAACCGCCTGTACATATCTCATACCGTTCAAAACCGCGAAAGCACACTGTAAATTATCGAATACCGTTGGTTAATTTGGTGTTTTGTTAACAAATTATTTATTCCAAACAATTATGGAATTGAAAGTTTTAGTTATTTTTGTTGTGTATTTGGTTTTTATTTTCAACACTGCTATGCTGGCATTTTTATTTTGCATCGAATTCCATGAATATGTAAAGTCTTGCCATTAACATCCACAAATCCCACCTTAGTTCTTCGGGGACGCATTTATAGAAGTTTATATTACCCAGCATTGAATCGTGAGCTCATTGAAAACTGCAAAACACAATAAAAAAAAATATATAATATATTATTTATTGAAATATTTTTGATTTGTGAAAAATATATATTTACATTATTTATATATGATTATTTAGAAGCAAGTGTGTGTTTTAACCTGGGTTTGATCCATTATTAAGATTAAAAAAATATGAATGACCATCGTCAAGCAAAATTCATCAGTCGTTAAAAAACAAATTTAAACTCTCTAATCATTCATACTCTTTCAAAAGCACCTAACTTCATGTAAATCAGATGACAGATAAAAGGTTACAGCCATTTATGTAGAAGGAAAAGTGTGCACTGATCAATTTTTATAAAAAGCAAATACCACATAAAAATGTGTTTTAAACTTGAAAAAATGGCTGAGACATACGATTTGATAAGAAAAGCTTATGGTGATGATTGTATGACTCGTACTTAAGTTTATACGTGGTTCGCACGATTTAAAAATGGTCGTGAGGACTTAAACGGCGACCAAAGCCCAGGTCGTCCACAAGCTAGCAATTGTGCTGAATGGGTGGAGAATGTTCCTGAAATTATTGGTATCGATGCAATTTTTACTACGATAATGTCGGCAGAGGTGTTAGATACGAGTAAAAGCACTATTTGGAGATTTTTAACTGTTTTGGGTAAAAGAAAGGTCTGTGCTCGTATTGTTTCTACATATTTTAAAAAGTAATTCGAAGATTCTTCCAAAAAAAAAAACGCTTTTATTGCTTCGACATCACCTGACAAATTTATCTTATAAGATCAAGTAAAAGTTCGGAAAAATAATAACGAAACATAATGCAACTGAGGCACTAAGAACAGAGTTAACAGTTTTTATGAAAATTGAGAAGTTAGTTACATATTTTTTCACGTTTACATGAAGTCAATTGTAAGTCTAGTTATGACCCACTGTCAATAAGAACTGCTTAATTCGAGAATTGATCTAATGATCGAAATTTCCTTTGTGAACTAATTTTTGCCGATATGATATTGCATAATTACTATCCTCTACAACGAATATTACATTTTAGTTTCATTTCGTCGAATCGGCTTACTTATACGTCAAGATATTTAATATTTTCTAGAAAAGTGTTAATCCCGGTCACCTTCCGAGTCATACTTGCGACTTAGTTTTACAAGTACATATCGTGTCTATTCATTATAATATAAAACTTCTTGATTATCTTTGATTGCTTGAATCAGCATTTTTTGAACATGCGTCAGAGATGTTTTTCTTTGATAAAGGCGAAAATGCAAACAAGGCGGTCATTATACTGACCCAACCAATCATGCGCAATTTTCCACTACGCTCTGGAAAGCCAGTTGTCGAAAATATCGATAAAATAATAAAAATATTCTAGTTTGATACCACATAAGCACAGTTTTTATTTCAGAATAGCTGTAAGGAATCATTTATATAAGACTGGCTAAAAACAGAACCTTTGGGTCACTTAAGACAACGTCATATATGTATGAGTAGTATGATAGTTGGCTCTGCAAATACTGCTAAATGCTTGGTTGAACTAGTATTCTTATTGTTTTTTGATTTGTATACTGGCAGTGGTGTAAAAATAGTAACAGTTTCGATAATAGCCTGATTGTACCCTATTCGCCGGTTTTATGTAACTTATTTAACGCCCACATTAATGTTTAAGCCTGCAATTCTGTATGAGCGCTTAAATATATTTGCAAGTATATCAATAAAGGAAGCGATCAGGTGATCTTCAATCTGCGTTATGAAGGTACGTAAATCGTACGTATATAAATCCATCAAGCAAAAAGATATGTCAGTAGCAATGAAGCAGTGTGGCGGATAATTGGTTTTTCATTATTTTCACGGACAGCGCGTTTATTTTAATGAGAATGCCTTTCACGGTGACAGCATTTTTCAAACTTTGTAGTAACGATCTTTTGGCAAGGACATTATTGTACTCTGAAGTTCCCCGCTAATATGCATGGAACACGTCAAAAAAATAATGAAATCGTCGCGTTCAAGGTATAGCTGTTCAAAATCATAATGAAATTAAAGAATCGGACGCTATTGGTCGTGTCTACACGGTACAAGTTTTGAATGTTTTTGTTTGTGTATTCGCATGTTAATACATCATGTTCGAGGTTCTACAAGCTATATAGAACTAAATATTTTAAATAGTCAAGAACGTCAAATTAAAAGAGTATTATGTGAAGCTCGGTGACTGTTAGTAAGCGACTGCTGGGACGAAACTATGAATGTAGCTGTGCAATGTCGATTACCAGAAAAAAATAAGGGAAAAATCTGCAATTTCAGTAACAATAGCGCTTGAAGTAGGATGCTGCAAGAATTTAAGCTTTTAGTGTGGGTGCTATAGAAACTTTAAACCGGACCCATAAAGGCTTACGAGATAGTACAGATATAATGGGAGGAATGGTAGTTTTATGGCTGGTAATTTCTGACAAACTCTCAAAGTCATTCAGAGAGGAACATCAACAGATGAAATTAAAGCCTGCATTAAATCATCAAGCTTGTGGTTAAAATTGAAAAATTCAGTTTGTACGAATATGAGGGTACGTCTTCATAATGAATTTATGCAGAAACGTTGTTTAAAATCGGTGATAGTTATTCAGACTTTGACGACGATGGTTATATTTCACTTTCACATTTGTAATTTAGTAGAAAACGATGTTGATCTAATTTCTCATGTTTTCCGGAATTGAAACAAAATTTGAATAGTGATCCACCAGTATCCAGAGTATTTGTCAATGGATGCAATCAAGGAAATATAATTAAGTACTTCATGTCATGTGAAGCTTTTCAGTTCACTTGAACTATCGATTGTTTAGTCATATACATAAACTTCAATTGAAGCTAAATGTACCAATAACGCTAATGCAAAATCTATGTAGATGCTCCAAGGTTATGTAATGGAATAAGGCTTCCCAATATTACATATTAACAGGTGTCGGTAATGGAGAAAGTTTTATTATTTCTCGGATACCAACTATTCCATTTGATCTTCCATTTCTATTCAAAAATATTTAGTCTCCCGTCAAGCTCAACTTTGCTGTTACTATAAACAAAGCATAAGGGCAGACATTACAGATAGCATGGGTGCCCTTAGAAATGTCTAGTTTCTCCCACATTCACCTTTATGTGTATGATATTTAGATATGTAGTGGTCCGTTCGCGAGTGTCAAAACTACTTACACATTTTTGGACCGGACGGAAAAACTTACAAAATAATATACAAAAATATCCTAGAATAATACTATGTTGAAGTAAATTATTTCAATAAAGCAAGTTGTCATTTTTTGTATGTACTTGTAGTAATTTTCAATTAATATTTTTTATTAAAATGTTCTGAGCTTGGATATTTATTGAAGTAATTCAATGAAAGCGAAGTCGCGAGTAAAACTAGTATATATATCTATATAAATTAAAAGACATTTATTTAAAAATATATTTGTTGTTGAGTTGTTTTTTTTATAAAAATATAAGAAATATATACAAAATGCGTTCTCCAACGCATTTTCTTATTATTTTCCTTGTTCAATTTTATATGGCCACATACATTTGCTATATACATATGTACATGTGTACTTAATTGCCTTTTGCAAAACATTCTCAACAAAGGTGTTTACGAGTGGTGATCTCAAAGCTCACTCGGCATGAAGCGAAATTTTGCATGCATACACACATATACATACATATATACTCTCATACTTGGCATTAGTAGTAGGTAGTTTCTGTACGAAAATGCGAAATATCGAATAGGCGCACATGCTTCGACCGAAAGCTTTTTCGATTTTATATGCGTAAATGAGTACTTATTTATTTATAGGCGGTTGTGTGTGTATGTAAATGTGAGTGTGTATAAACAATAAAACGGCAACTTATAGGCAAATGCGAGTCATGCTTCATACATGAATTAGCAAAATGCGAAGTATAAGGAGCTGGGATGCTTATATTATTATACATATAAAAAAATATGTACTTATGTATTTGTATATTTACACGCCTAAATATGTACGTGTATGAATATTTATCTTCACATATGCCTATGCATTTATGCATGCATTGGTGCGTGCGCATGTTACCCGCATTAGCCGAGCATGTTTGCGATGACCTTCCCACACTGTCATGGCTAAATAAAAAGCTCGGAATACATCATATACTTAAGCGCATATGTACATGTGTTTGTACATAAGTGTGTATGCTCTTATATTATTAGGAGAATATCAATTTATTCAGGCCAATATCGAAATTATGTCTATATAGATGAAAACTAACGAACTGACGAAAGCACTAACCATCAAACATCACATATCTTGAATTAGTTTAACTGGTTTTGAAAATAGACACATATTTAAAAAATCTTATTATACAAAAAACAACAATACTTTCTGGGGAATTTGCCGAATACAAATATAATTGTCCTAAATTTGGCATAAATATGACGTTTTCTGACTAGTTCAATTCTAGGCAAGAAATATTCATAAACGAAGTATACCCTGGACCACACTCTCATGATCGTTTACAAAAACAGATACATACCTATATATGTAATAATAAAAAATACATATGTCTGTACGTATGTATATAAATACAAGATACATAATGTCATATTTACGTATAAGTACACGGCTCAGATGCGAAAAAATTCAACAATCACAAATCGTGCAAGTTTTATTTATCACATCTTTTTGGCCGCAGAGCACCTGCGCCAATGTCACAATGCCACTGTCAGTGCCACTGCAACGCAGGTACGAGTACATTCACACGGCAGTGCTGGTGGTGGAGCCGAAAGGGTGTGTGAGATGCAGGGGCGTCAGCAGCAGAGCAGGATGACCGCCACCAAATCGAATCGGTCATTCAACTCAAACGGAGCTTGAGCTTTTATTTATTTCATTTTGACAATTCGACTTAAAACCACAAAAAAATCCAAAACAGGTAATTTCCACAAAAGCAGGATAGTTTTGCTAAACGAAAGCAATATTAACAGCAACAAATTATTTTTGTACGAGTACTC